AGCTAATACCAGGTTTAATTTTGAGTTTTACAGATCCTGGGGCTGGTGTTCTATAGGGAAATTACTTCGCTTACTATGCAATTAATTTAGTTGTCTGAGTATGACGTGTGAGAGTGTTTGAAGAAAATTCACTCCAGAATGAGTTACACGTTTTGACACAATGATGATTTTGTACAACACAGTCCTGAATTTATTATATCGAGTCAAACATGTATGAGTGTGCCGGGATTGTTCCTCTGGCGTTGATTTCTGGGAGGTTTTAGCTGGAGGAACAAAAAACATTCTCTTTAGTTAATCTTGTTCTTAGTTTGAGAATTGATTGTTGGATGGATTACTTCAAATAGCTCCAGTGGTTGTTGGGCGACAACCTTTTCGACAAGGAAAGTAGTGTAGCGTGTTCCCCCTTCTATTTAATATTGTAAATAAAAGAAGAGGAATATCGATCGAAAACATCGATCGTCACTTGGAACGGAAGAACTTCACTTCGACAGAAACCTCCTTCCTGTCAACTATTCCTTGTTCTAAGAAAATAAAACCGCCCTTTGATTTGAACTGGCTTTTCTTATTTCAATATCGTAACAATATAAATGTAATTTTTTGACCGTGTCCGTACGTATATATGTGCGTACATATGCAAGCAAAACTGTCTTGGATTATTCGCTAATGAATCGATGGAATAATTTTCTATTCCTCAAATATAGGTTTTGTCGAGCCCTATCAATCTGTATTAATTACAATTTAGTAGTTAAAGCGAAAATGTTCATAATTGATTGCATGATAGCTTAAAAAATTTGTTTCGATGTCCTTTTGACCGAGTTCGCACATGAAGGCGATAGCCATAATCGTTATTTGGATTGATTTGAAAATTTGCAGATTTTTTTTTTAATGAGGATTCCGGGTATATCTTTGGATATTATGCTTAAAATGAATTCAATTATAGTTTAAAATGTTTGTTTTAAAGCCATTAATTCGAAGTTGCTAGATGATTACAATAGCTACATTGGCTGATTTGATTTTCATGATTGTTGAAAATTTCGAATTTTTCATGAATTTCCCGGAAAGTGAGCTTTCTGATGGTTTCTTCCAATGTGATGTTTCAAATTCATTCAAGTATGTATAAATACAATTTTTTTAATAACTTGTCGAAGGGCTGAGGGGGGAGATAGAACCGTAAGAAAAGACAATCAGTTGTACAGAAGAAAGGGATAAGAAGAATAATGACGATGATAACATTGATTCAAGTTGAAAAGCGGACAAAATAAGTTTAAAAAAAACTTATTTAATTTAATAAAATGAGATACACAATGAATTAAACGTGATAAAAGAAAATTATGTACAAAATAACCATTTGGAAGAGTATTGCTAATTTATTAGCAAAATAACTATACTATATGTACTACAAGAGCAATTTTTAACTTGTTTAAAATAGATATTGTTCTATTGAAAAATTTCTCCAGCAGCATAACCCGCGACTTTTGAAACTCTCATAGTAGTATCCCCTTAACGCGCTATAATTCAAATCCACCGCGCCAGTGCACGGTAAAAGCACGCCGATGGAACTATGCTGGTGATATCTCTACAGTCGGTAATTTACTCAGATGGTAACAGATAATTCCATATCAGTTCGGACAAAACGAAATTTTGTCTTCGTTGTTTCTTGCGCGAAAACAAAATTGGTTGACCATATAAATAATCTTTTTCCAAAAGTCACTTAAATAAGTGTATTCACGTCAATAGGCTGTTTTCATTCATTTCTCCATAGGTGTAATATTGTAANAAATATTCGGAATTCAATTATTGTAGAGTTATGAGTATTGTGTGGAACAATCCTAATATATGGAAATGAATTCCTACAAACATTATCCATCATCAAAAATCAATTAAATTCTAAAAAGATTAGTCATTCTCTCCATCTTCACTCAATTTTCCATGGACAATTTAGTAATACACTCCTTATGACGAACAATAGAGGCAATTTTCCTTATAATAATGATATAATACATCACTCATTGGGAATTTCCTAGGTCATCACATTTGTGCGTTTTGATGTGCATATCAACAAGCGATATACAAGTAATAGTTAAAGATTTTATAACTAGAGTCATTAAAAATAAATCACTCAGCACTAATATCTCAGATACGATATAAAAGTCTCGTGTAATGATAAATGTTATAACAGCAACCAGCTGTGGAGAAGATTACAATCAAATACTTGCACCCTTTACATTTTTTATTTTTGGTTTTTTTAGATGCTAGGGAATTTTTAGTTTCGTCAAGTTTGCGGCATTTGATGATGGTAAAGTGGCGGTCGTGGGGGTCACCCAATATTTTCTCTCCGGAATGATTCACGCAAAAGTGAGTAGAGTGGCTCACGCAGAAAATTTTCTCTTCGGAGTGATTCACGCAAGAGGGGAGTGGTTAACGCAGAAAATTTTCTCTTCGGAGTGATTCACGCAAGAGGGGAGTGGCTCACGCAGNTAAATGTTATAACAGTAACCAGCTGTGGAGAAGATTACAATCAAATACTTGCACCCTTTACATTTTTTATTTTTGGTTTTTTTAGATGCTAGGGAATTTTTAGTTTCGTCAAGTTTGCGGCATTTGATGATGGTAACTTGGCGGTCACGGGGGGGGGGATGGGTGCAACTGGACACAGTCAACTGAACACATCCGCAACTGACCACAGATCTGGTAACTTCGGCAACTGAACACACACGTAAATACAAGAGGGTGAAACGTAGTGATATTGCCAACTTACTCTTCCCTATCGACGAAGTCAGTTGATGATATACATAGGAGATGGCGCTGATAGGTTTAAAACGGAGGAATGAGAATTACTTGTATATAGTGTGAGCTAACTTTGGGAGATGACGAAGAACTATTGCAGGAGCATCAATAATCAGAATATTAATATGTCAAGTATCGTAAGAACATCGTCAATCAATCGAACAAGAGTGAGGTGGTCATTTGCTAAGGTGTATCAAAATAAAGTATTGTCCAAGTCTTGTAATAAAATCGAATAAAAATAATTCAAAGTATTTTCACGCAAAGTATCGATAATATCTCGTAATATTATGGTAAAAGTATGAGGCAGGTATCGGACAGAATATTTAAATGTCAAGTATCGTAAGAACCTCGTGAATCAATCGAACAAAAATGAGACAGTCACCGGTCGCAGTGTTTCAAAGCCAAGTATCGACCAAGTCTCGGAGTAAAATCGAAAAAAAATAATTCAAAGTATTTTCAAGCAAAGTATCGATGATACCTCGTAATATTATGGTAAAAGTATGAGGCAGGTATCGGACAGAATATTAATATGTCAAGTATCGTAAGAACATCGTCAATCAATCGAACAAGAATGAGACAGTCACCGGTCGCAGTGTTTCAAAGCCAAGTATCGACCAAGTCTCGGAGTAAAATCGAAAAAAAATAATTCAAAGTATTTTCAAGCAAAGTATCGATGATACCTCGTAATATTATGGTAAAAGTATGAGGCAGGTATCGGACAGAATATTAATATGTCAAGTATCGTAAGAACATCGTCAATCAATCGAACAAGAATGAGACAGTCACCGGTCGCAGTGTTTCAAAGCCAAGTATCGACCAAGTCTCGGAGTAAAATCGAAAAAAAATAATTCAAAGTATTTTCAAGCAAAGTATCGATGATACCTCGTAATATTATGGTAAAAGTATGAGGCAGGTATCGGACAGAATATTAATATGTCAAGTATCGTAAGAACATCGTCAATCAATCGAACAAGAATGAGACAGTCACCGGTCGCAGTGTTTCAAAGCCAAGTATCGACCAAGTCTCGTTATAAATCGAATAAAAATAATTCAAAGTATTTTCACGCAAAGTATCGATGGATACCTCGTAATATTATGGTAAAGTGTGAGTGCAGGTATCGGACAGAATATTAATATGTCAAGTATCGTAAGAACCTCGTCAATCAATCGAACAAGAATGAGACAGTCACCGGTCGCAGTGTTTCAAAGCCAAGTATCGACCAAGTCTCGTAATAAAATCGAATAAAAATAATTCAAAGTATTTTCACGCAAAGTATCGATGATACCTCGTAATATTATGGTAAAAGTATGAGGCAGGTATCGGACAGAATATTAATATGTCAAGTATCGTAAGAACATCGTCAATCAATCGAACAAGAATGAGACAGTCACCGGTCGCAGTGTTTCAAAGCCAAGTATCGACCAAGTCTCGTAATAAAATCGAATAAAAATAATTCAAAGTATTTTCACGCAAAGTATCGATGATACCTCGTAATATTATGGTAAAAGTATGAGGCAGGTATCGGACAGAATATTAATATGTCAAGTATCGTAAGAACATCGTCAATCAATCGAACAAGAATGAGACAGTCACCGGTCGCAGTGTTTCAAAGCCAAGTATCGACCAAGTCTGGTAATAAAATCGAATAAAAATAATTCAAAGTATTTTCACGCAAAGTATCGATGATACCTCGTAATATTATGGTAAAAGTATGAGGCAGGTATCGGACAGAATATTAATATGTCAAGTATCGTAAGAACATCGTCAATCAATCGAACAAGAATGAGACAGTCACCGGTCGCAGTGTTTCAAAGCCAAGTATCGACCAAGTCTGGTAATAAAATCGAATAAAAATAATTCAAAGTATTTTCACGCAAAGTATCGATGATACCTCGTAATATTATGGTAAAAGTGTGAGGCAGGTATCGGACAGAATATTAATATGTCAAGTATCGTAAGAACATCGGCAATCAATCGAACAAAAATGAGACAGTCACCCGTCGCAGTGTTTCAAAGCGAAGTATCTACAAAGTCTCGTAATAAAATCGTACTAGAATAATTCAAGGTATTTCTACGCAAAGTATCTATAAAACATCCTATTATTATGGTAAAACAATGAGGCAGGTACCAGCGAGCCTCGTACAAAAAATAAAATATCGAGGTGATATTTCTATAAAGACATTCACAGCGGCATAGGTCATATTAAATCTTTCATATGTTATGTAACTCCTTAAAATATTTTATGTGGTCCTTTCTTTCATTTCCCATATATTTTTTTCCGCTCTTCGTCACAATTCCTCGACATCATCCCGCTTTTCTCACAGGAAAGCATCTGAAAATAAAAATATTTAATTTCATTCACCCTGCTGTTCCTTTTGCTAAAACCATTTTGCAGGATTTATCATGTCTTTCTATTGAGTCACTTACGTTCAGCTCCGTCGAGAAGATCGCACTCACGAAGTCCCAGCTCCATCAATCCGTCCTCATCCTCCAATACCTCGAAATCCGTAAATTCTGAAAATAATGCCAATCCATTATGCAGGTATATATATATATATGTATATCTCTTTGCCCATCCATATATCTCTATCCCATGTCTATGCTTGTGCAGAAACCCACACACACGTATTTACAGGAGTTAGTACTTACCGGGCTCATCGTCTTCGCAGTCACCTTGTCCGATCTCTTCTACGACGAACGGCGGGAAGTCTCTGTCGAAGATGTTTTGTTGAGGATTTGGTGGTGTATTGATTGTTTGACCTTAAAACCAATTCGAAATAATTACTCATTATGTTCCATATCAGTCGGGATTTTATTGGCTTCCTTTCCCGTCAATAATTCATTGACTATTATAGCACCAAGCTGTTAGTTTCATTTTTAAGGAATGTCAGGTTTAAAGGCTGAGCCGAGAGCAACATCTCTACTCACATTCGTTGTAAATCAAAGTAACGCCCATGTGGAATATCTATATTTTACAGCACTAGGGTACTCATTTTGTTTTCGACCAACGTATTCACAAACCCAGCCTAGGGCAAGGTCTGTTATCACATTCGTTGAAAATTAAATTCACACCCCAGTGGTCGATAATATTTCATGATAGACTGCAGAAAAGTCGCGTTTACAGCGCACTGTTGCAAGTGCGCAGTGTGTGATAACTTGACTTATTGTACAGCTTATCATAAAAACTTGTATGGCACTATTTACCCGTCGCTTTGCCCTTCCTTCGCCTTGCTGGTGTCACTGTCTTCCTTTGGGTACCTCTAGTTTTTGATGAATCTGCAGGGTACGAGCCCTTACGGCCTTGGTACGGTTTTCTCCCCCTTGCGTTCCTTCCTCCACGGCGATGACTAGAAGTCCCATATTCTTCAGTCTCGGGCACTGCGGAAAACTTAGCATATTATACCTCATGTATTGAGAGAAAAGTTCGACATAAATTACCGGTCCGTTTGGTACACGTGCAGCGCTTCGCAATTCGGGTAAATTTCCGTACCACTCCGTACAATTTGTTTCTGTTGTCTCATAAAACTTAACTTACCGTACGAAAAAAATTATCGGCTTTCTAGACAAGCGTTATCTACATGTTTGGAGATTTTTCATCGGCTGGCGGAGTAAATTCATCTATTTTCCAGTGTAAAATTTATTGATTGCTCACAGAACACTATTTACACATATGTATAATTCTGATTTTCATTTGAATGATTGATTTGAATGATTGATTTGAATGATTGATTTGAATGATTGATTTGAATGATTGATTTGAATGATTGATTTGAATGATTGATTTGAATGATTGATTTGAATGATTGATTTGAATGATTGATTTGAATGATTGATTTGAATGATTGATTTGAATGATTGATTTGAATGATTGATTTGAATGATTGATTTGAATGATTGATTTGAATGATTGATTTGAATGATTGATTTGAATGATTGATTTGAATGATTGATTTGAATGATTGATTTGAATGATTGATTTGAATGATTGATTTGAATGATTGATTTGAATGATTGATTTGAATGATTGATTTGAATGATTGATTTGAATGATTGATTTGAATGATTGATTTGAATGATTGATTTGAATGATTGATTTGAATGATTGATTTGAATGATTGATTTGAATGATTGATTTGAATGATTGATTTGAATGATTGATTTGAATGATTGATTTGAATGATTGATTTGAATGATTGATTTGAATGATTGATTTGAATGATTGATTTGAATGATTGATTTGAATGATTGATTTGAATGATTGATTTGAATGATTGATTTGAATGATTGATTTGAATGATTGATTTGAATGATTGATTTGAATGATTGATTTGAATGATTGATTTGAATGATTGATTTGAATGATTGATATGAATGATTGAGTTCCATTTGAATGATTGTGGAATGTTCCATTGTTATCTACGGTTATGTACTTTTATTATGGAGGACCAAAATACTGCACGATTACCAAATGACACGGTAATTTTTGCTGGCGATTTCTATTAGTGTGAATACGAAGGACACACAGAACGAATTGTTACAGAATATACTATCTCAACAGCGCCAGCATAACTACCTAACACAACATATTCCTCGTGCTTAGCATGGGCCAATGAGTTGAGGACTACATTCGCCCCACGAACATCAATTTTTGGTGCAACGTCAGGTATAGGTGTTTCTCCTGTTGAGCTTCTCTTCTTGGGTCGTATCCTTGAGCAGTCCAAGCGAGATATTCCTGCCTTTGTAGGCTCTACAGTACGAATGAGTTTATTAATTATTAATTAAATGAATTATTGTTAGATTTCATCTGATGGCTTTTTACATAACGATCTGGTGAATGGCGTTTTTGGCGGGTGTAAGCCGAAAGCGAGGGTTGACCAAAAAAATGCATTCCGCCACATTTGGATTCAAACTTTATATTATTATATACCGTAAGATACATTCAACGCACGTGAGGCACTGATACGCACGCCATGGCCTCAAAAAAAGTCTAGGCCTCAAGAAAAGTCAAAAAAAGTAACTAATATATCTACACTCATCAAAACGCTACGTGAATAGACGATACGAGCTTCTTGTAGACCCTCAAATATTTCACCGGACTCATGATTTCGGGCTGGAGAATAGGTATTACCGGTATTACTTCCCAAACGGAAAAATTTGAAAATTCATATGGAACAATATTGGTCGTCGTTGTGTGTTCGGCATATCGTCGTGAAAATTTCTTTGTTGCCAATATCTTGGCAATCAATCTACATGTTCCAATTTATTTTTTTAAAGTAATCCTCGTGATTACGCTTATTCGATTAAATCAAGAATAGGACATTGCACTTTCAGAAACGTCGTTTTATTATCATTTTCGGATCTTTAAACTAAAATAACTTGTATTCATTATAACTCATCAAATAGCTCATATATAACCTTCAAATGTATAATGATTTTAGGTCTTATCATTACAAAGTTTGGTGTGATTATTTCTCAAACTACCGATCGCATAACACGAGTACAGGAACAGTGATATGTAATCGGTTGAATAGTTTTTTTCCGCACTGCTTGTTTTCCACGTGTGGTTGTTGCTTATAATATTAACATTACGAGGTATCATCGATACTTTGCTTGAAAATACTTTGAATTATTTTTTTTCGATTTTATTGAGAGACTTGGTCGATACTTGGCTTTGAAACACTGCGACCGGTGACTGTCTCATTCTTGTTCGATTGATTGACGATGTTCTTACGATACTTGACATATTAATATTCTGTCCGATACCTGCCTCACACTTTTACCATAATATTACGATGTATCATCGATACTTTGCTTGAAACTACTTTGAATGATTTTTTTTCGATTTTACTCCGAGACTTGGTCGATACTTGGCTTTGAAACACTGCGACCGGTGACTGTCTCATTCTTGTTCGATTGATTGACGATGTTCTTACGATACTTGACATATTAATATTCTGTCCGATACCTGCCTCACACTTTTACCATAATATTACGAGGTATCATCGATACTTTGCTTGAAAATACTTTGAATTTTTTTTTTTCGATTTTACTGCGAGACTTCGTCGATACTTGGCTTTGAAACACTGCGACCGGTGACTGTCTCATTCTTGTTCGATTGATTGACGATGTTCTTACGATACTTGACATATTAATATTCTGTCCGATACCTGCCTCATACTTTTACCATAATATTACGAGGTATCATCGATACTTTGCTTGAAAATACTTTGAATTATTTTTTTTCGATTTTACTCCGAGACTTGGTCGATACTTGGCTTTGAAACACTGCGACCGGTGACAGTCTCATTTTTGTTCGATTGATTGACGATGTTCTTACGATACTTGACATATTAATATTCTGTCCGATAGCTGCCTCACACTTTTACCATATTATTACGAAGTATCATCGATACTTTGCGTGAAAATACTTTGAATTATTTTTATTCGATTT